GGGATTCAATGGGGTCAATGAAAGTGAAAGAAAGAGGTTAATAAAAGAATAGGATTCAAGGAAACAGAAAATGACAATTGATATTGTATTTGAATTTTGAAAATACGAGTTGACAGGAAAACAAGAAAACAGACGCAAATTACTATAAACGTTATATTTACGCGCTTGAATAGATATTCCTGTTATTTCTTTAACAGTAAACTTAATATCCACCTGCCTAGATATCGAAAGTCTTATTAACTAAAGAAAATTCTCTTTAATATGACTTTCGATATCCAGGTCGATGGATGTTAATTTCACTGTTTAAAAAGCAGATGTCTACTTAAACATGTGTGACCAATAAATATTTTGTTTATAAATATGTGTCCCCATATATATATATATATATATATATATATATATATATATATATATATATATGCATGTATGATGTGAAAATAACAACCGCATTTGATATCAAAAACAGAAAGAAAAGAAAATGTTTTTTTTTAGGTGGGGGGCGGCGAACCCTCCACAGAAACCAATTGTTTCCGCCTCTCAAACCCAGAAGTAAATGTCTGGATGGGTTTCTCAATTTCAAGTGTTTACGAACCTTTCCTCATCAATAGAAACATTACAGGTGAAAACTACTTGAACATGTTTGACCGTTTCTTGAAAAAAGGAATCCTTCCAGAAAGTCTTTGCAAACAAAGATCTTTCAGTAGGACACTGGGCCTGCACTTTACCCAATTGTAGTCACAGTATTTTGGGGGCTGTAAATTACCAGATCGATAGTTTGGGAAAATCAGATTAGCAAGATCTCGTTATATCAAACCTCAAGATATTTTTTATTTGTAGTCAGATTAAAAATGCGTTTTACATTCGAAAACCCGAAGAAGAAAAAAATCGGTATTTACGGAATTTCATTGAAAAACGTGGGCCGGTTTGATAACATCTGAAATGTACCGAAATGTTATTCGAAATTTTCATGAAATATTTCAAATTTGTATTGGCAATAGTGGCTCATCTGCATAAAATTTTTAATTTAAATTATTTTTTGATTTGGTAATAATTTACCTTTCCAACTCTGTTCGTTCTTCTATTTTGTGTTTCAAATGTAGTTACTTTATTCACACCTTGGGTAGCGTAACAATTATTTGCGTGGAAAGTGGAATCGACGGACCGAGTTCAAATTCCGGTCTAGTCTGTTGCATTGATATTGTACTATGTCCTTGGGAAAGGTATGAACCCTTTTCTTTCCCTCCAGGTATGGGTGAAATAACATCATATACAGCGGCCAGTATACAAGAAAAAACATTCTAAAATTGAAACCATGGAGAAGGCAATCTTTCCCAAGATAAAATAACATAGATAATAAGGAAAAAGATATTTGTGGAGAGTCATGATCGCCTATGTCCTGAAGGGACATTGCATTATTAAATGTGTTCGTAATTGACATGTCGTGGTAAGCCTGACAATGGGTGTAACAGCTTTTTTCTCCTGTGACGGCTGTCTGAACTCTAGTAACAATGGGTAATATAGGAGAATAGTTTGTCTCCGCTCTCATTCACTGACCTGTCATCCATCGTGGCATATCAATGATGAGACATAACTGGCGAATTATATATATATATATATATATATATATATATATGTGTGTGTGTGTGTGTGTGTGTGTGTGTGTGAAGATGAAACGTTGTATAATGAGCGACCAGCAAGTAAAATTAAATCTGCGAACTAAGTTCGAATTTCATCTGTGATTGGGTTTCATATATTCAATAAATTCTTTTTTATCGCCAGATCCCCTGACAAAGGTTCTCATCACTGTCATGTCACGATGGGTGAAAGGGAGTGGTTGAGTGAGCACTAAGGCAAACTACTTTCCCATGCTGGCATTGTCAAGTCATATATATATATATATATATATATATATATATATATATATATATATATATATATATATATACGAATATAGATAACTATACTCGTTTCGAAAAACCCTCGAATTTTTGATTTGCCAATAATCAAATCAATCTCGAGGGAAAAAAAGGTTTTAAAAAAAGAAAGAGCTACAAACATGAAAGTCTGTCGAAAATAATCGCACAGATGCAGGTTTGAAGCCCAAAGAAAAAAACCCCGATACGAGTAAACAACTAACTAACAAAAGAGCTCAATACAACCGTAGAGCGGACCTAGATACACCTAGTGAGCCAGACAAACCTACCTAGGTTTCACCTAAACGGATCGTCAGGGAAAGTCGGCTAAGGAGGCAAGGTGAAACGCATATTTATAGGCGATAACTAAAATTATACGTTTAGGTGAAACCTAGGTAGGTTTGTCTGGCTCACTAGGTGTATCTATATCTATCTATCTATCTATCTATCTATCTATCTATCTATATATATATATATATATATATATATATATATTACACAACAAAATCTAAAATTACCACACATAGAGATAGATCTATTTCAACCAGCGCGAAGTACGTCAGTCTTATTCAACCCCATTGTATGGACTGTGTTCGTGTCGGAATTAGAGATTTAAAATTTAACTTTGAAACCAGTCGAAAAATTGATACAGAACCTACCTACTTCGACGCCTCAGCCAGACGAAACGCTCGAGTTGGTGGTACGGGGAAGGCGAAATGTATAAAAGGAAGAGGCTCCACAAAATCAACCCAGATATTAACCCTATGATCCGAAATTGGGGCTATATAAAGAAAGAGGAACGAAAAGAGCGATCTTAATATATAAAAAAAGTTAGGTTCCGACTTTAAAAAATCACAAATTATACTTACTCATGAGATAAATTAAAAAGATTAACAATAAATCATATTTAGATAACTTATATTAAATAAGAATATATTTTATATATATATATATTTTATATATATATATATATATATATATATATATATATATATAGATATAGATATATAGATAGATAGAAAGAGAGAGAGAGAGAGAGAGAAATAGAGGAACCAAATGTGTCACGCGAAAACTTTTTCCACTTTGTGATAGATTTTCTGTATATATATATATATATATATATATAGTCAAAAATAATTTCGGTTTTAGTGCAAAAAATTATAATGTATCATCCTAACTAGCTGTTCGATAAATATATCAAGTGATGAAAAACAGGTTAAATACAACAATGTTTGACACTGAAGGCACAACGATAAACCTCCAAAACCTACCCTAAATACTGAGCTCCATTGAAGAAAGGTAATGTTGTATATGTGGTCGAATCGCTGGGGTATTAGAGTTCGTAAAACGTAATAAAACACTAAATGCACATCTGTACATACAGCAGGTGCAAAATGTCTATAAATGTTTGCCTGAAAACGCCTTATATTCTTTAATAGGAAAAATGTTTTTCTCCTACATGACAGCACAATGCCACAAAATAAAAGTATAACACAGGAAAATATATTTAAACTCGGTTGGTCTGTTCTACTCCATCCACCATATTCAACTGACCTTACAGCAACCGATTATGACCTTTTTGGTAGAACGCTTTGATGGGGAAAACTGCCTCTAATGAAAACCAGATTCAAGAATTGATCGAAAACATTTTCACATCGAAACCTGTTGAATTTTACCCCCAAAAAATCATGGAGCTTCCTAACAAGTGACAAAATATTGCAAATAATTGAATAAAATTAAATTTTTTTTTTTAAGAATAAAGTTCGTAAACAAAAATGGAATTATGTGTTTTGTATTACTGATACCCCTGACGAGTCGACGGAGTGATTTCTGGAGAGTCTATTTACAAAACTCTGGAGTCGGGATGGTGAAGGTAACACCAATCAGTTAAGTGAAAAATTATTATATATATATATATATATATATATATATATATATATATAATATTTATTTTAGGATATTAAAACATGTTAAAAATCGCTACATAATCGCAATTATGTTTCAACACTACAAATATGTCTCCTCGGGGGATGTTAAACTACTGGCGAGTGAAAGATTAATTTAATTTCAAAAGCAGAATACTTTAAAAAATAGGCTTGTGAGCTTTGTCGTGATTAACCAATCGAATGTGACCTACGCTAAGTTCAAATTCACCGCAAAAAATACATCCTTACGGAATAATGTAACAACCTGTATCTGGCCTTAAGGAAATTGCCTCAGATTTATATGCAAACAACTTCGTATCAAGAGATATATTAAAAAAATTTTTTAAAGTTACAAATTTTATATTTGTATCAATTCTCTCTCTCTCTCTCTCTCTCTCTCTCTTTATATATATATATATATATATATATATATATATATTACATACAATAGGAATTTAAATTTACCTCATAGTTATGATCATTTCACCTTACAAGTTAAGATTTACTTGCAAGGATTTTCTAACCGATCAAGGTAATAAGATAAAAAAAAAAATCTTTGTAAGTAAATGTTAACTTGTAAGGCGAAATGGTCATAACTATGAGGTAAATTTAAATTCCTGTTGTATGTAATTTATATACTCTGTTAGAATAAATATATTGAGCTCTCTTTGTGAATTAGTTTTACTATTTTATATTATTAGAATTCACTTGGATCAAATACCAACGGATTATTACCTATATATATATATATATGTTGATCACCCTGAACGCTCATCATCTTGAATTAATACTCGACCGGCCTTGAAACGCGCGTGCTACTGAAATGTCTGTGTTCGCCAAAAGCAAGATGAAGCGTTTTGAGAGTGTTAGTAGCAGACTTGCCAATCTTTGCACGAAGATTTGATACAGGCATATTGCTCGACTCTGTCAGACATTGTAAAAATCGAAGAGTCATTCCAATAAAACATCGCATAATAATCGAACATGAATAGATAACATGAAATCTATTGATAGACTGACTCAGTTAAGCTGGGTACTAATAAACGTTTATTGTGCGCGTATTTCTATTGTATGCACTGTTTGAGAATTTTTCCGATACCACGTTGTATAGTTTGGGCTCTTTATTTATATCTATCTCCCCATTAGATACTTGCGTACAGCAATGGTTGACAAGCTAAACTTGTAAGCCGTTGATAATATGTTTGAGCCTCATTAAGGTGCTTTAATAATGTAGACTTGTACCAGACAAGGTTAAACTTAATAAATATTTATCTCACTTGGTTAGTTTCTTTCTTTCATTTGGCTTTCTTTCTTTCTTTCTTTCTTTCTTTCTTTCTTTCTTTCTTTCTTTCTTTCTTTCTTTCTTTCTTTCTTATATCTGTCTGCATATAGACGATAAGGCGCCTACTCTAGAGTAATTTTACTGTTTTTGTAGAGAGTTAAATTCTCACTAGAGAGACTACAACTGAGACTTTGTGTCGGACGAAGCTAAACATAATGTTTATCTTGAAGATAGAGAATAGTCTGATGAAGGGACTATCGGCTATCAGCGAGTGAAGGCAATTAAACCGACTATTGGCTTTGTCTCACATTCATATCATTAGAAAAGACATTCAACCAAATTTTACATTAAATGTGGTCGTACTTCCACATATTGACTGGAGTCGGGTACGGTGCAGAAGAGTGAGAGCGAATCTGAGCAAATATCCAAGTACATTGCATTCGTTTCATTGGGTTTGATGTTATTAATACTCTCTCCTCACCTCTCTCACTATTTATTTCCTTCAGAGTAAGGATTCCTATGTAAAATACCTTTTCAATAAAAAGAAGCGTCATCGACGCATGATAGTTTCTTTCAAGAAGCACACACACACACGCACGCGTGAATATAATATATATATATATATATATATATATATATATATATATATATATATATATATATGTATATATATATATATATATATGTATGTATGTATGTATGCTTCGTCTTCCAATGCATAAAGGTGCATATCATATATGTAAGACCGGTTTTATTTTTATGGACGAATCGACGCGGAAAATGTTGAAGTCGTCTGCATATGTCAAAGTATGTACGCATATTTCCATCTCTGAGCGTCTTTGCTGTGCCTACCCGTATAAACAAGAAGAAGAGACCATAGTGAAGTAGAAATCAAATATGGTTGTCTAATAAGAAACATATGCCGGCTATGCCGGGATATTGGGGGTGAGTGTAAGGGGGAGTTTTAGCTTTACTCCAAGCGAACGTGAATCCTAGAAATGTGGGTAGGGAGTGCGAAAAAGACCGCGGCAGAGAGAAAACACATTTTCCGTGTGAGTGAGAAAGAAACATTGAAACATTCGACGAGTTCTTTGATGAATGTGTTTTTGCGTACGCAAATTGAGAAACAGGGATTGAAATGTCTGTCATTTTCTCCCTTTCACTTTCTTTTCTGCATGTTTCAAAATCCTGGAAAAGATGATAGTTTGGCAAACGACTTCGTAGAGTTTATTACAAATCAAAATGTTTCGATGTTGAGCAGAGAATAATCTTTATAAGAGAAGAGGACAGCTGTATTGTGCCAATTTCCAAGGAAGAAAATAAATGATTGGCTTGAAAATCAGCTTTCGGGATTATGCCGATCACTGACGTTGTCAGGAATCACACAACTACCCTATCCATGATAGAAGAAGTATATATATATATATATATATATATATATATATATATATATATATATATATATTTTTTTATAAAAAATTTATCACATAAGTATGTTATAAAATCACTACAAAATAGCCATTTTGTTTCAACACACTCTGTGTCTTATCAAGTGATGATGTTGAAAATAAAATAAATGGTTTTAAAAGTTTCAGATTAATTAACGATCCTACACTAGGGGGAAACATTGTTACAAAAGCTAGAATAACCAATCAAAAACGAAGTATAGAAAGATTCAAAAGCTTGACAACGAAATCCTGCTCTAATAGCTATTCAGATCTTTAAATACGTGTAATATTAAAATTAATTTATACTAATAATTATAAATTTACATGATAAAATTTAATATTAAAATTAAAAACTGGCAATTTTTAAAATCCAAATTTAATCACTATTAAGTTTAAAAACTACAAAATTATTGAGAAAAGAAAAAATATATATGTTTATTCATTTCTTCATTGAAATTACGTTCGACAAGACAAGACGCTATAATACATCCGGTCATTTGATAATACATGTATATATATTTTTCTCTTTTTCCCTTTCTTTTCCGTTTTTATTTTAAAGTTTGTGAATATGGTCTTAAACTCACGCGTGACACAACAAAAACACAATCAGATTATAATACATAAGCATCCAGACATAATTAGATACACACACACACACACACACACACACACACACACACACACACACACACATACACACACACACACACAAAAAAAAAAAAAAAAAGGAGAGGTGGGGGGAATAAATGAACATCTCTACAGCCCTTTATGAAAAAAGGAGACGTGGAAACTAACACTTATACACACACAGATAAATGTGAATATGCATTCATTTTAGGATATTAAAACAAAACCATTTTAAAGAACTCGCCAGTAGCTTACCATCGCCCGAGGAGACAAATTTGTAGTGTTGAAAGATTGTAATTGTAATTGTGTAGTGATTTTGACCTTTTTTTTAATATCCTAAAATAAATAATATATATATATTAGATGTTACGGACAGTGGAATTATACTCCACTTGTTCCCATTTTTACCTGTATATATATATATATATATATATATATTTATAATATTTTTATTTAAAAATATTTTATTATCGCGACACGGAAATTTCTATGTTTCGGAACTTAAATCTGTTTCATTATCAAGCGATGTTGGGTATTTTTTGTCAAAAGTTATACAACATCGCTTGATAATGGAACAGATTTAAGTTCCGAAACACCAAAATTTCCGTGTCGTGTAAAATTTTCTTAAATAAAAATTATTATATTATGTTCTACGTTGTACCGAGCACTATTAAAAAAAAAAATGCTAAAGAATATATATGTATGTATATATGCATATATGTGTGTTTGTGTGTGTGTGTGCATGTGTGTGTCAGGAGGCTTCGCGACTGGCATTAATATGATTGTTTAAAAACAGATGTCTATTCAAACATATATACCCACTAAATATAACGGTTATAGTCATAAGAAATAGGTGTGTGTGTGTGTGTGTGTGTGTGTGTGTGTGTGTGTGTGTGTGTGTCTATTAAATGAACATGTGTTCCTGGGAGGAACGAAGTCGATTTATTAAATGTGTGCAAACGTTTCCTATGAAAAATGGTTTCAGTTATATAATCCTTTTATAGCTAGCCAAAAGTTCGTTGGAAACTTGCACACACCAAATACTAACATACACACACGCACTTACACACACACACACACACACACACACACACACACACATATATATATATATATGTGTGTGTATCGGTTAAGTGTATGTATATATATATATATGGTGGAGGGAAAAGATGAAATATATTCATATTCTGACAGCATATGTGTATTGAGGTGTGATATATGTCTATTTGGGGCTTTTAATATGTTTGTATATTATACATGTGCACGTCCGTGTCTCTGTGTGTGTGTAAGAGAGAGAGAGAGAGAGAGAGAGAGAGAGAGAGAGAGAGAGAGGACTGATGAATGGAGTTATAAATTGGTTTGAACTTTTTCAGCCCACGTGCCATATAAAACACATTTACATGTGTATGCGTGTGTGCATGTGTATGTGTGTGTGTGTGCATGTGTATGTGTGTGTGTTTGTGTGTGATTATATTGCTTCGAGGGCTCTAAAGATCGTCTCTTAGGGTCTGTCATTCATGTGTGTACATTTTTCTTTCTTTTTGGAACTCAAAGTGCTCGATCAAGCGTTAACAAATTTAGTGCCCGTTAATGTTTAGATGCCTGTATATGTGTGTGCGTGAGTATATGTATCACAAAATACTATATGTGCGTATATCTGGCCCTATTTAAATTAGCACAAAATGTCGGCTGTTTAGGGTGTGTTTTGTGGAGGTATGTTTTATGCACGCTTCGTGAGTGTGTCGTGTGAGAGATTCCAAGAAGCACATATGCCAGTACATAATGTGTGTGTTTGTATATATCACTGTATATATATATATATATATATATATACAAATATAAACTGATATACACGAACGCATATATATGTGTATGTATTTATATGTGTGTATATATACATATATATGTGTGTATGCATATATACGCGTATATATACATGTGTGCATGTGTATATATATATATATATATATATATATATATATGGATTTATACGCACATGCAAACAGAGACATCCACCGGGCATTTCACACAACGTCCAAAATCACTTCACTGGTTAAAAATTGAGGAATCTATTGCACCCCTTAAATTCCTCGACTCTATCTATCTATCTATCTATCTATCTATCTATCTATCTATCTATCTATCTATCTGTGTCTGTGTGAGTGTATATGTTTGTGTGTGTGTGTAAATACGCGTATGTATTTTATTATATGTGTCCGTGTATATAAATACGTGTATGTATCACGCACACACATACATATATATAATCAAGAAGAAAACCTTTAGAATTCATTTCCGTTAAAATTTCTTTGGTGAATATCATTGAACTACACACTTTTATAAATGCTTCGTTAAAAACGGTTGACAAGGAACTGCGATTAAGTTTTTTATTTAATTTTTCTTGTATTCGTTTTCTTTTCTGGACAAAAAAACAAAACAAAAAAAAAACTGTCAAATGTTCTGCATTTCCGATATAACCTTTCGGTTATACTTTTAACCATTATCAAGGATGATGCATCTAGAGTTATAGGAATGTTTTATTTTCCAAACACGGTCAGCACATTGTGGCCGTGTTCACAGTTAATGTTATTGAATATTGGCTTTTTCTTTTTTGTTATATTGGCTTTCATTATTTTGAATCTTTTTTTTACGTGTGGATGAGGTTATTATGCTTGTATTTTCTACTAGTATGTTTCAGATGGAGTCTGGTAGTCTTTTGTAGAGTTTTTACTCACTTTGTGTCCAGAAAAGAAAGCACTTGTTCGAACACAATAAAGTTAAATAAAAATCTTAATCGCAGTACCTTGTCAGTCGCTTTTAACGAAACATACATACATACATACATACATACATACATACATACATATATATATATATATATATATATATATATATATATATATATATATATATATATAAGAAGGAAGAAATATAGTTTAAGGTATGCTATATTTATGGGATACAGTGCTCAATATCAGAGACAGAGCCTATATAATTATAAAAGTGAACATTGAAGGCAACACTCAGAGGCGACAGACTGTTTCATGCTGAACGTAATCATAAGACCTGGCATATATATATATATATATATATATATATATATATATATATATATATATATATATATAATACACACATACACATATAGAGACAGTAGAAACGTCTCGGTGCCTTCCATCTTCGCTGTCTGGGACGCATTCTCAACATCAATTGGTTCGGCAGGGCACTAATGCCGTAGATCTAACCCGTGTCTAGTTATCCAGCCTATAAGCCTATACGCCCTTCTCTAACAGCGCAGGTTCCGCTGGTTTGGACATGTATACCGTATTCCGGATGGGAGGATTCCGAATGTCCTTCTTTATGGGGAACTGGTCACCGGCAAGAGGGCACGAGTGCGACCTCATCTTCGCATCAAGGACATCTACAAAAGCGACATGAGGGCGATGGACATGAACATCGAGAAGGGGGAAGACGTCGTTATCAATCGCTTACGCTGGAGACACGATTTTGACCAATGGATTGAGCGAGGAGAGGAAAAATCTCTTGACATGCATTCGATGCATTCAAGGCTGCCGCTCTCGTGTGGGCCTGTACAGCCATAACAGATGTTGCTCCGCCATCAGCAGCTGCAGCATAACTCTTCGATCGTAGATCCCAGGACACTTAAGACTGACGGATCGAGACCGACAGAAATATCAATAAATACAAGTTTCCTGAATTTGGAGATTCCATCTTGTACTGATAAAATATACTTTAAGCTCAAGAGTGTTCTCCCCCACACAAACCTAGTGGGTGGAAAATATAGGTAAGAAGATTGCATTACGTATTTTGTATTCGAAATTAAAACATTTATAGTTTCAAATGCCTTTTCAAGTGTATTTACGTATTTTAAGATTGTGTTGCACCACTCTCCTACGAAGTGTGTGGTGGGTAGCTTTATTGAAAAGTATGGCATTCGAATTCAAATCATTAACTTGATTCGAACACCGGGTTAAGACTGTGGAGATTTCGAGATACATGTCGGTTGTCACTGAAATGTGAAAAAAAAAAAAGGACATTTCTTTATCTTTCATAAAAGTATTTTCTATCTCTTTAATGAACGAGGCAAACAGTTGTGAATATGTCGCTGCTTGAGCCCAGATAAAAGTTGCCATATTTCAAATGCTAATTTTCAAGACAAGCTGACCTTCTTCACTTAGAATGCCAACGTATTATATTATAGAAAATAAAACAGTCAATTGTTCTTTTCGTCGACAGTCTGTATCAAATATTTTTCGAAGAATCCTCGCTGTTCCGAGCAGGCAAGCTTTTTTTTGTAATGGCTGTAATTCCAAATTACAATCAAATATCTGCAAGTTTTCTAGTCTTTCTTTACAAGTACCTAGTGATCAAACGATCATTAGTACCCTAATTACTTCCTTTGCTCGTCCTTCCCAAACTTTTAGAATTTCATACTTTAAATATTTGTAATTGTCGGCTTGGTTCTTTGCTTTTAATTCACATGTTAAATGGATAGGAAATTTCGATCAGGCAGCAATTTTTTTTCTGTTTGTCCAGAGCAGGATTATCGGATTATATTCTTCTCTAAAGTTGTCATTGTTTCTATCAGAATATCCCACAGGATTTTCACTTTGTTATTCGCCAGCACTTTCCTCTTTGTTATCTCATGTTCATAATACGTGTCACGACATTCAAACCCGTACTTTTTACACGGCATCCAATGAATATTGGCACTCACTTTGTCATGCCTCCATTCCTCATCTTGAGCCATGCACTTAAATTCTGATACAATATGACATCTCTCTCTCCATACATTTTACATTCTACATAATGCTGAAGTGCTGACTTTATAAACAGATTGTCTGCCATGCCTGATCCTGAACTGCCATTAATAATTCCTCAGAAAACTGAGGGGTCATTGTTATTATTATTATTATTGATAATAATAATAATAATAATAATAATAATAATAATAATAATTACCTTTTGCTTTATGTCCAGTACTTTCCCTTACCCGTTCATTACCCAAGAGCCATAAGGTAAAAAATATATATACTGTTTGCATTAATTCTGATGTTAAGTGATAATTATCATGTACAATGTTGTATTTTCTTTACATTGATAATACACTCTTGAGTAACTAACTAGTTCCACACAGCAATTCTTTGAATATCTTTAAACAGGGGCTACCAAAGCTGTACCTTCTTTGATCGTACCCAGGAATTATTATCGGTATAACTAGTTTTAGAGTGCAGCATTGTCAAGATACTTATATTTACTTATTTTGTCGTATTCTTTAACATATATCTTTTTATCTGATGACACTTTTATATCTATAGGAAAAACATTATTATTATTATTATTATTATTATTATTATTATTATTATTATCTTGTGTCGGACAAATCTATGCTTAATGTGAATCCTTCTATAACATGTCTGAGTTTTGCTTACAGTCAAAATGTAAGGTGTGTGTGTCGGTGAATGTGGGAAAGGAAACAAAAAAGCAAAAAAGGGAATGTGCGTTCACTAACGTGACAGACGAACGGATTTGTAAAAGAAAGGGTTTGCCCGTAAGAATGAAAACGACAGAGGACCAAAAGAGAGAATGGGATTTTACAGACAGACGATCACACATGCGCCTGCGCGAGTGTCTGTGCATTAAAGAGAGAGAGGGGGTGGATAAAAAGATGGCTTTTATGCGCCCTTGTGTATTGGAGATGAAAAAAGACCACGTGACTTTAGCACTCCGAACAGCGTCTGTTTTGAGAGAACATATTTGTGTATGAGTGACTAAAGTTTGTATGTGTGTGTGTGTGTGTGTGTGAGTGCGGGCGCGAGCGCGCGTGTGTGTGTATGTGTGTGTGTGTTCGCCCTTGTTTTAAATTAAGCACGCTTTCGCCCCAGTCGTAGACTAGGGATTTCGTTTCCTATTCCCCTTGCTTCTGATAATGAACCTTTATCCTTGTTAAGCAGCAGGAAAAAAATTGAGTGTTGGATTGAAGGCGGGGGCGGGGTGGGAGTACTCGTCACTGAACAAACAACTACACTGCAATTTGGATCTCTGCTCTCAACTTTCCAAAGGGCTTCTTGGGTTCCAAGTTGATACAATTCCAGGAATATTGATTTGACTACATGGTTTTAATTTGAATTAACTGAAATAATTGTAAGGATTTTAATTTAATTTAATTTTCTATAAACTATACATTCAGAAAACGAATTTAAAATGCTATTTGTGCGAATTATATATATATATATATATATATATATAGTTGGATTGATGGGTTTCACGCTATTTGCGATCGTTCCCAGGGTTAGAAACTCACATCAATCCAACTAAATATGTTAGCTCTACCACTGATATTGAGCGCTTTCCAATAAGTACCGCACATATTGCATATATATATATATATATATATATATATATATATATATATATATATATATATATATATATATATACACATACATACATACATACATACATACATACATATATATACATATATATATATATATGTGCAAATATGTGTGTGTATTTACATGAATATATATGAATAAAGAAAAACATATAAACAATCCATATCGGTTATAATTTAGAAGCGTTATAATTTATGAAATAAATTATAACCGATATAGATTTTTAAGTTTTTTTTCGATTTATCATTATATATTGCTCTGTAATTACATTGAGCTATCATTGGATTAATGTTCTCCTTGGAATTATCCCTACCAATTACAAATTGGTATTTTATACATACATATATATATATATATATTATATGCGTGTTTCTGTGTTTTTATGTCCGTGTATGTATATGTATTCGTGTGTATGCACATGTGTGTATGTATGTGTGTGTGTAAGTGTGTATATATGCGTGTATATGAATGTGTGTTTGTTTGCGTGTGTGTGTATCCCAATGTGCGGCACCTTTGCAATGTGCCTAAAAACCATATTGACCAAGCCTTGTGAAATTGGGTAGACGGAACTATCTGGTAGCAGTCGGTCGTTGTGCTAGCACGAAGTCACAAGCCACCGTGACCGATGGTTTCAGACAATGCGCTCTTTCCCAGAAACTGTCCGCTCAGTTGCAGTATAAAACACAGGTGGCCTCTTTGGGTGCTGGACAAACACAAATGTGCCTGAGCAGGCGTCTGCAAAAGGGATAGGCTTGCTGCCCTCATAGAAAGCAGCCAGCTATAGGAAAATACATACACGCATACACACACACACACACACACACACACACACACATATATATATATATATATATATATATCATAAAAATATAGTTTTAAGGTATGCTATATTTATGGGTACGAATGCTCAATGTCTGGGATAGAGCTTATGTAATATAAAAGTGGACATCGAGCGGCAACAGTCTGTTTCATGCTTGAACGCAATCTTAGCAGCCTGGCGATTGAAGATTGTCGCTGGTCGTTGTTGACCTCAGTGTCCGTACGTGCGCGCTCACACGCGCGCACGCACACACACATATATATATATATATATATATATATATATATATATATAAAAGAGGAGGCAGATTTGATAACGCCTGAAGAAGCAGGCAATATACATTTTAACTTTCAGTGGAAACCAGGAAAATCTCCGAAATATGCAAAAAATAAATTTCAAAAAAGCCGTAAGTAAAAACTTATATAAATGAAAAATCAAGTCTCCAAATTCTCCCAATATATATATACGCTAAAAAGTAGTGACACGCACTCAAACGTGAAACTGGTAGTCACCATGCAGTGTTGATCTGATATCCACACTATATATGTTTATAAACGTTCTCTCAATATTGAACAACCTTTCTCTATAAATATAGAAAATGTTGACTATATATATATATATATATATATATATATATATATATTATATATATTTACTCGTGTATTATGCGACTTTTGAAGATCCAGTTTTGAGGTTAATTTTAAGGGGGTCGCATACCCAATATAAAATTAGCATATGTACTGCTGGCCCTGGCCATGGCATTTATTTATCCATTTACTGTAGCCAATTTTTTGAATAGTCAATATTAGCTTCAAAATTAGGTTTTCCAAAGGTCGCATGATATGCCCATATATACGGTATGTAAAGAGTGTTCTAATAACTTGGACCGTTTTTAAATGTGAATTAAGTTTAAAATCAGTCCAAGTTATTGGAACACCCTTCAACACCTAGTTAGGCTCAAACTTTGCAACACTAATTCACTAACCATCACTCTATGGCAGTCGACCTCTTTTCAAAAGTGCAACATTGTGTGGTAAAAAGATTTTTGGGAACTTAACCAAAGTAATTCTTTAGTTTCAACTTAACTTGACAAAGAAATTTAGTTGTGAGTCACACACATTTAAGTTCTAACTAATTATACTTGCGATTTCGTCTGTGAAATAAGTTTGCTAATTACTGTGCTACAGTAGACGCCATTTGCAAGACGGTAGACGCCATTTGCATTCGGTAACGAATCTAATTATGCCGCATTCAAATAGCAAAAGTTGCCTTCCAAAATTTCATCAAAGTGTTAAGACAGGAAAATTTGGTTAAAAACAAAGAAAAGAGCCCTGAACTGCTATGTAATATCAATCCTCATATATGTCAGTGAATGCTGGACAATTTCCTCATATACATTTGGGGGGCCACAAAAATCTGGTTCTGGAGAAGAATGCTGAGTATACCATGTAGAGAGTATGTGAGTAATGAGGAAGTTTTAAGGAAAATGGAAGCAAAAAAGACACTTGTGCTTAGATTCAGACAGTTGAAATATCTGGGATACATAATGAGAAAAGAGGTCTTGGAGAATTTGATACTCGCAGGACGTATATAAAACAAGACAGGCAGGTGGAAACAGCAGTTAACCTGCATAATGAGCGTGCGTCAATGAATGATACAAAAAGGAGTGGGAAAGTTAGTAAAAAGACTCGCATTGCTAGGAGCTACAAAGGGATTAGGGAGCTATAGATACCCATGATCACCCACGTCCTGAAGTGACATGGCACATAAGAAAAAGCGTTGAATTATAACTTATTTGAATTTGTTCGCAGTAGTCCATATGGTGATTTTCTGTATAGCTTCCACGTGGCACAAGGCCGAAAGCATGCGGCACACAGTGAGGATCGATCTCACTTTTCAGTCGTCATTACTCTAGCGAGACAAGCTTGCTAATCATTATACGATGTCGAAGTGTCCCCACTGCTGTCTATATGGACATTCCTTAAATCGATGTTGTTCTCTTTTTCCTGGTCTTTATTGTCAATTTAAATAGTTTTTTCATTTTTAAATACTACATCACACGCACATAGACAAAGATTTACCCTTGAATTCGTGCCCCATTAAAAAAGTAAGCTAAACGAGAACTCGCTCATGTCATAGCCACCTTCTGTTAGTAGTTGGAACTTTCTATCATAATGATATAGCAATTCCAATACACATGTAGGTTTATTGATTTATAAATCATTGATCATTTCAAATACATTGTTGACGAGGTTATTTCGTTATACATTGACTGTAGGTTCGATCTTCATTGAATATTTTGACTTTTTATCTCTAGCTGTCTGTCTGTTCAGGAATTTAAGTTGATAAGAACTAGCGTATCTCGTCATCTTGGTATGTCTTTCATCATCATCATCATCATCATCATCATCTCTTTCTCTTATCTCTACCCATTTGTGTGTGTATGGCTTTTCATTTCGTTGTTTCTTTATCCATCATTTTACATCTCCTTTCTATCTATCTATCTATCTATCTATCTATCTATCTATCTATCTATCTATCTATCTCACTTTGGCTCCCTAGCTACCTATCTCTGTATAAGCAAAGAGAAAATGAAAGCCAGAATGTATGCTTTACCAAATTGATAGACATTGATTAATAGGAAAAACGGAAAGAAAATAGGAAAAACGGAATAATCTTTAGTTATTTTACGGGCAGAAACACCGCGGCAATTCTTTATTAGATAATTGTATCAATTCTTTCACCGGAAGTCTTATGAGATCAGCATAAAAACTGTTAAGAAAGAAATTTAAAATCGTTAAATCGCCGAAGAACAATCAATTTAATTTCGTTATTAGAAAATTCGGACATTTTCATTTATTTTTTATCACTCTTCAAAATATTTGCTGATGTATATGTATTACCCGCAAAACTGATAGCTAGTGTGTGATGCTAGCAGCAGAAAAGAAGCGGGTATGGCTGCCCCAAGTAGCGGCTTTCTTAAAAATTTTTAGAAAGTCTAACGTTTAACGATAAATAACGTGAATAATAGCCCTTTTAGTCAATACTGAGTCAGACTACTTAAATTTTGACTTTCTTTTGCTTGCTTGAGCATTTCACTAGCTCACGTTTGTAACTTATTAAAATGAATTATGTGTGTGCAATAGAGTGCGGGGCGTTCATATGAACGTCTGCCGTTGTTAGATGTAAGATATTGGCATACACTATCATTAGTTTTCGCATTACTCTTTGTCGGCTGTCTGCTGCAGTGAACAATGGCTTCACGCTTGCCTCCGTACGCACAACGCGGCTTTGTAAAGTAGGAGACAATTATTTTTTGAATTTTTTTTTCTGTCATCACTATTATCTTTTTTTTTTGTGTGTTTGTTTCTGATCGCTTCATCGTTTTTAGTTCACAAACGGTTAAAAATAATAAGGGGGGAGGCACTCACGTGATCTGAGCCGCGTTTGAGTCACAGCATCACGTGATTGCACGCTTGGCGCTGCTGAGACCGGATCACGCGACATAAACTAGACGAAGGAGCTTAGTGTCATGTCTAGAGATGGTTCGTTCGAGGGAAAGAAGGTGAAGCAATGAAGTATGTGGTGAGCACAGCTGAGTAACATAGAATGTCTGTTACATACGGTCTTCTTCTGACCCCACCCCAATTAACTAAATTTTTTTCCTAGATTGGCTCGTTACATAACGTGGCTATCTAAAAGTAACGCGACTGCAAGAGAAATACCGCCATCTACAATTTAAAAAGCTCCTTCATTACAAAAGATGTGTGAACGATGACTGTATTTTTAATTTCATTTTTTTTTAGGTGACTTTCCACTGGAAACCAAACGCCTGCCAGTTTTTTCTCATAACAGTCTAGATGGATTTGTTTTTACGGCTTATCAACCCATTGATGGTTATTTTATACCAGAAAATATTCCTTACTAATTAACCCATAGCTAATGTGGGAGAAGAGGTAGATTCAAGGGTGAATATAACGAACCCGACTGGAATTGGAACTCGACATTTTGATTTCCAATTCCGAGCCGTTATCCATTACACCACCAAGACATCCTAGTTTACAACACCTCGTATTCCCAAGCGGTAACCCATCTAAGTTGTGAGCAGGCACGATGTTGCATAACTTCGGTGATTGTACGAGAACCGGTATTTTAATTTGATATTTCCGTAAGCCTCATAGACGTCTAGAAATAATGTAATATATATTATATATATACATAATAATATAAGATTGTATAAAAGGAATAATTTGGTGACTGGTATGCTAACGTGCTTTCACCTGTGGATCATCAGGTTTGTAAGTGCCAGCATGTAGAAAATGCATACGGGGCGGATATCGTTAAATAAGCTAATTCGAGGTGCTGGGAGTGTACATTTACAGAAGAAAATCCAGTCTGAAAACGCGGTTAGTTCATCCCAGTACTTCAAGCTGGTGTTGACTGTTGAATGTAGAATCTACATTCAACAGTCGACAGTAAACACCATCACTTGAGAAGACACCAGAAATGTTGAAAAGAAATGACTATTTTTATAGTGATATTATAACATGTTTATGTTATAATTTTTTTATATATATATATATATATATATATATATATATATATATATATATATATATATATATATATACCAAAGTATGTTCTCAATTATAACTCCTGTCATCGACCTTCGATATCTATAAATCGAAGGTCGATAACAGGAGTTATAATTGAGAACATTACTTTGTATATATATATATATATATATATATATATATATATATATATATATATATATATATTCCAAGTATATGATTGGTGTATACGGAATAAATTCCAATAACCAACAATTACTATTCTTAAAAGAGTGCTCAATACAGAGTAGAGCGAATATAATTATTTATTTAAAATTATAACATAAATATGTTATAAAATCACTACAAAATAGCCATTTTGTTTCAACACCTCTGGTATCTTATCAAGTGATGATGTTGAATGTAGATTGTAGAATAAAAATTTTAAAAGGTTTAAATTAATTAACCACCCCCGTAAGGGGAAACACTGTTACATGAGCTCATGTAACAGCGTTTCATCTTACGAGGGGTGGTTAATTAATTTAAACCTTTTAAAACCTTTATTCTACAATCTACATTCAACATCATCATTTGATAAGATACCAGAGTTATTCTGTTTCACTTACCTTCAATGTATTGTGTCGGGTTAAATTTTAAAAACTTTTTCATTATGTGTCAAACATTTCAGCTGTCTTTTTTTTTCTGATTGTTAGCAACAATTTCTTCCTCATTTGTCACATGCATTTTTCATTACTTTATTAACATTCAGCAGTAAAACAAGAAATAACATCCTGATCGCTTCAAGTCTTTTCTTCGTTTGTGACGAAATTTTTCAGCATTCACAGTTATATTGGAGGATAGACATTACACAGCAGACCATTACTCTTTTGATCAGTACATGCCTTCAGCATGACCAGTATATAGTTGTCGATAAGCCAGAAAGATTATTGTCCCTGCTTCCACGTAATGGATAGCGAGCTCGTTCAACAAGCCAATTCGTAAGTAGTGTGGGCGATCAATAATTTTGACCTTTGGAAGACTAAGTTTAGTAAATACGTCTAAAAATACAAACTTCTGTTTGCTTTTAAGGGTTTGTCAGAGTTGTTTTCAGCAAAGTTTGGATTTTTTTTTAAAATTTAAAATAGCACTAACTCATGTGCAACATTTTGTGAATTCATTATCGGGAGTTCGTTTCTCAGTCGATGTCTCATGAATCTGGCTGTGAACACAAGTTGGCTAGTCCATTAAATATCTAAGAGTATTTGTTTATCGTGCTGGAAGGTATGTGATTATCACGCAAGCCATTGATCTTAGAGTTTGATCCTCTTTGGGTGGTCAGTAAATTAAGTCTTGTGTTAGAAGTAAACCGAAATAACCATTTCACTAAAGAAACGTCGCGTAAGCGTAAAGAAAACGTTACTTCAAAATCTGGATATAAATCTCAGCTTACTGGAAACCTCAATCGATTGACGTAGAGCATTAACACAGCCAAGAAAGAGATTTAACGATCCTTTCAAAGGTAAAATCTTTTCCCTTCAACCAGCCCATCTTTCCATCATAGTCAAACAATGAATGCCGAAAGTCTCAGTGCATTGTTCACAGCCAAAACATAAAAATGGCGATAGGCCGAATAAGCTTAAAAGACTCTTTACTCCCGCATAGCGATGCATCATCTTCTCTAAAGAATAATCGTTCAAGTGTAATGGTTTCTATAGTATTTACACCAACGATCGAGAGTTCGATCCTCCCGGTATGTTTAATAAATCCAGGTAGTGTGGTTCAAGAAATCTGAGGCAATTCGTTGTAAGACATTCGGGACGAGAACATATCAAGTTAGGTGAGTCGGGGTAATGTTTCATTTTCATTTTTTTTTAGGTTGATGATTGTTTAATAGTAATATTAAGATTAGCCGTTTCCTTATATGGAAACATTCAACATTCATTGATCGAACAGTTAGCGTTATTCTCGATTAAAATCTATAAAATCTTTCTCTTACAACATTTCCAGGAAGATAGACTTATCAAGTCCGCTAACTTTTATAGCTCTTTCCAGTACTGAGAGGAGTTTCCTTTCTAACCTTTTGTTAGGATGATGTGGAGAGTAAACATCTTAATTATGTCATTATTTTTTTCCTTCGAGTTGCTATCTACACATTTTTCCTTTGCTATTTGTATGCTATTAATTTTTTTTTTTTTAAATCCGTATCACCCTATGCAAAGCAGTGAAGCCACTAAGACACAAGAGGTAAAAGGGTATAGAAGAATTGACATTAATAATGTGCGGGAAGAGGAAAGAGTAATCAGGAGGACAGTAGATAGCAATTGACATTACATTTAAATTTTTGCAGATTAAAGTTGAATGGGAAGAAAAAGGCCGGAAGGGAGTTTCAAAAACAAGAAGTGAGAGAAAAAAAGTGTTAGCAAAGAATTTATGGTCACACCTAGCCATCTTATTTTAACATGTTAGCACAAACCCTGAAAAATCACTGATCATTTTAAGTGCTTATAATCACTGAAAGTCATAAGATATTTTTCATTAACTTCTAATGTAGAGAACATTATAAGAGACTATAAATCTATTCTCTGTATCTCGTCGATCTTTGGCTATCATCACATATATTCACCCAACTCATTCTCTCACACTAGTACCTTAAAGAGCTATTGTATAGAGTATATCGTCTTGTCACAGAAAGTTTTTTGGTCTTTGAACTGATCTACAAAGCTCATATTGAGTGAATCTGTCGTTTAAAATCGACTATAAAAGAATTATAGTGCAACTTCACACCTTCGGCGCCAACGTTATTTTTCTGGCGTGTGTAAACAAGAATAAAGAGAAAAGATTCCCCAAAAGACTAAATAGCATTACAGGAAATCAGCAACAGCTAATTTATGACTTTATTAACCATTTCGATACAACAAGAATCCCAAATGGTGGATTTTTATGTTTTAAACAGAGAGAAAGAGAACGAGAGAGAGAGAGAGAGAAAGAAAGAGAGAGAAGGAAATTATTAAATCATATTAACTGCTCTTTTAAAGAGAGAGAAGGAGAGAGAAAGAAAGAGAGAGAGAGAGGCAGAAAGAGAGAAATTATTAAATTATATTAATTTTTCTTTTAAAGAGAGAGAGAGAGAGAGGGAGAGAGGGAGAGAGAAATTATTAAATTATATTAACTTTTCTTTTAAAGAGAGAGAGTGAGAGAGAGAGAGAGAGAGCAGGAGGAGAGGGAAATTATTAAATTATATTAATTTTTCTTTTAAGGTGACTTTCTAACGCCGGGCGAGATTTTGTTTGCATCATTCTTGCAGCAGTGTGCGAAGGACAAAATGAAAACCAGGCACAACATTCAAAAAGGGGGACGTTGCACAATTAACGTCATTTGGCGTTGAATGTAGTCAGAAAAGATGATTACGTGGATACTACTTTGATAGTTTTACATTTATGCGTAAGATGAAATTATTATAGCATGAATAAAATCCACATCGGTTTGAAAAAATATTAGTCGACGTTGTTGTAAGGAATATTACACTGGCATTTATGTTTTTATTCGTCAAAACCGTTTCCTTGAAATATATTGTGCATCCCTGTTTGACTCTAAAACTCATATACCGAGAATGATTCGATGTTTAGTAATGTTAATCAAATGGATCAATACTAATAAAATATAAGATACAAACGATATTACTGTTTATGGGAGCTACACCTAACATCCACCTGACCAGAGCCTGGCAGCTGATCTCTGCTCAAACCATGCTCGTACAGCTTATTGGCGGAAGGACTAGGTTGTAATATTCAATACCTCCCAAGCTAGTAATGTTACAGCATCAAAGAGCAAACACGGTTTTCTTTCCGCATCAGGATGAACGCAAAGCTAAAAAATATTTTAATTTTTCTTGAAAATTGTTTATGAAACAGATAAAAAAAAGCTAAAGAGAAACAATGAAAAGAAAATTAGTAACAAATTTAGTTAATGGAAATTATATTGATTTCCTATCGATTATGAACCGGGTCTTAATTTTTTTAAATTTTAAGGATGCTCTAAGAACTCTGGGGCTTGCATTCATTCTCGTCAGTTTAGATTCACTGGATCATTACAACAGATGTTAAATCTCTTTTATATATATATATATATATATATATATATATATATATATATATATATATATATATATGCCACATAACACCCTTTGAGCGCTTAACCTTGGGGCGGAGGAATGGACATCAACGTGTTTTAGTGGACTCAGCAATTTTCAATCTGCTTGTGTGAACCATCTTCAAGAAGCGAGAGCAAGATCTAAAAGGTCAGCCAATCTAACAGTGATCTCATCTCACAATCCTCACACTTGCTACATATGTGGCCTCCTTTGTAAATCACTAGCGGGTTTTAAATGCCACTTAAGATTATCGCACAAAATTTTATAACTGAATCAATAAGCTGTCAGATCCTCATACATCGAAACCGACAGGAGAGTCCATTATATATATATATATATATATATATATATATATATATAATTCAGACAGTACTGTTTCGCTGTATCACAGCTCCTCAGTGCGAATAGACACCCGAATGCCTCAAACCAGGATCGAAACCCGGTCAGTCAGTC